CTATCAGGACCAAGAACATACGTCATTATAATATTTAATTTATCATTCTTTCATGTGAATGGAAACGGGCATCGACACAACGGCGTGCTGAACGTCTAATCCTTGGCTCAAATATAAGAAAGATATAATTCATTTATCTGTGGGAACCATCAAATATTGAATAGAATTAATAAATGTAATATTCTACTCCACTCACTTCAGTGGGGTCTAAGCTCCCCTGATAGTTCAACTAGGCTCCATTCCAATTCACACACATGTGAGCTACAGCAGAGGCTTTCAGACTGAGGTGCTGGAGCTCTCCGACTGGGTTTGTCTTCTGTCTGCCACCAACACTTGTTCAAGCAGCTTCCTTACAGCTTTGCGTTATCCTGGAAACCGGTCAGATGAGGAAATACACTGTTTATAACAGGGAGCAAAGGGCAACACCAGCCCAACTCGGCTGTATGACCTGACAGAGCCCCAGTACATTAATGACAGATTACAAGAACGCACCGTAGAAAACTACTAGTTTACAGTGATTAATGATACAGCAGGTGATGTGAATCTGCAGGAAGCAGTACAATTAACAGTGGTGGAAGAAGTACTCAGATATTTTTACTTATGTAAAAGTAGCGATACCACGGTGTACAAATACTTAAAAGTGCCAAAAGTAAAAGTACTCATTGTGAAGAATATCTATATTCTATTATTGGATTATTATCATTGATGCATTCACGTGCTCATCGCTCTAATGTGGCGTCTAGTAAAGGTGGGGCTAACTTTATATACTTTAAATAATGCAGGGGAAGCTTGTCAATTTCCTCCTAGGATTCAATTATTTATTCAGAATGTATTTGTTTATTATTTAATGTTTTATTAAAATCAATCCGCAAGGTAAGAAGGAACTTTAGTTATCAAATAACAGAAGTAAAAGTAAAAAAATAAATACAGTTTTTGCCTCTAAGATGTTGTGAAAGAGAAGTATACTGTAGCAGAAAATGAATATTATCCAGTTAAGTTAAAGTACCTCAACATTGTACTTCAGTGCATTTAGAATAGTTACTTTGCGCCACTGGATATTACATTAATCTTACAACAGATCATTTACGAGATGATATGGATCAAACACTTTAGTACTTATTATAAGAGCCTAGAAATAAACTACATCATTTTCTATTCTCGGGCAGCAGCAGAGAGCGTTCGGGCTCGCGTCGACTTGCTGATGAATCACGTCAGACTTTGTGTAGGTTCAGAGATTAGTAAAGTGGATTTATTTCATCCAGTCATTCTTTCATTCATTCCATACTCGCCCTGCAGTGTTCACGTGTTGACCAGCAGAAACTCCCATGTTATCAGAGCCATCTGGTTGGGAGGACAACGGTGTAATAAAACATATATAAATATATATAATGGCACCAAACATCCACCATCGGACTGTAATAACCTCGTCGTGGCTGACTTCGAGCCCCCAGTGTGCGGGGCCTGCGTGGTACCGGGGCGTTAATATATGGATGCAGATACAGAATAATAGTGTGGTGCCCCCCCACCCCCCACCCCACCCAGCCAGCCTACAGTAAAGCATTAACCCCTTCCTATTCACGGGTAAACGAGCCCCTCATTCCCAACCGCACCATGCCCGGCTGAGAACGGAGATGAACGGCTACGTTTGAGGGTTTAGGAACAAAGTGGGAAAAGGCTCACTCACCACTTGTCTGGTTGCAAAAATGTAAAAATACCAGAATGGGCCGTGATAATTTTCCGACACCGGGTCACAACGTCTCGTGTATTCGGTGAAACTCTGTTCTCCTCCCGGTTCAGCTCCGCTTCGCTCTGTCGCCCTCCTGGCTGGATTTTTTTTTCACAGTAAACTTGCCGAGTCTAGGCTATTGTTAGCTAGGCACGGAGAAGCCTGCTGCACAGAAACACCCGCCCCCTTCAAGGGCGCTCCGGACACGCCATTGGCTACTGGTATGACCACCTGCCGCCGATTGGCTGGTGTGCTCAGAGTCCGGGGCGGGGCGCGGCTCATTGCTAGAGAGCGAGCGGTGAGGCGTTCACAGCCTTCGGGGGAAAGTCAACATTGCAGTTTACCTCTAAGCTCTGGCTGAGGACGTTACATTCAGGTGTAACTCGGCCAGTGGGTGACTGACATGGTTTTTAGCTTGTATATTTAGATACCAATACGAAAAAAGACGGCTTTTACTTATCATGCTCTCATGGATGTCCAGTGGATAATACACTGTATGCACTGCATGGAAAAAAGATATAATAAGATAAAAACGTACTCACAGATTTAATGATTTTTAAATGAGTCCTCTGGTTGGGTAAAATATTTCTGCTTTATTGTCTTGTTTAGTGACATTCAGTGGAGGAGAAAGTACTTTTACTTCAAAAAAGTAGCAATGCAACAGTGTAGAATAATATTTAGTATATTATTCGATTATAATCATTCATAAATCAATGTACAGATCACTTTAGTGTTGTAACTGGTAATGGTGGAGCTAAAATTGAATTATGAAGTACCAAAAAAATGGAAACACTGAAAGAAAGAACAAGTACATCAAAGTTGTACTTAAGTAGCCTACAGTACTTTAGTAAGTGTTACTTCCCACCATCGATCCAAAACTAAAAAGAAGGAATAATTTATAAAGATATAATTTACCACAAGTACTTTATATCACATGATTGATTAATAAGACAAAGATGAGGGAAAAGATAGTAAATAAAGAACGTTCGAGGTGTAAAGATAAATATTGCAAAGTTTAATCAATAAAAATAATTATAATAATAGTTATAATAATAATGTGATCTACATATATTGAACATACATCAAACTGCATAGAATTAATATAATATCCAATGAAATATAATGTATATCAAGGGGCTTTATATTCTGTACAGAATACGACAGCCTCTTTTCCTTGGACCCTCAATTCAGATAAGAAAAAACTCACCCCAAAAAAACATTAATTTGGAATATCCTTTGGAAAAAATCTATTTAGACATAACTTTGATTTCTATTCCAGCAAAACAATAACCAGTTGTTGAATCCTTGAAGGAATCATGTATTGTCTCCTCAGAACACACGTGTTCATGATCATTATGAAGGTACCGCACTAAATGAGGAGAATGGAGAGACAGCGGCATCTAGTGGCGACATCTACACAACTTGAAAAAGGTATTGAGGGAAAAAAATCACAATTACCACACGGGACTGTGACTGGTCAGCTTGGGCTGCTTGTGTTTACTTCTACAAGTTTGTGATGTCCTTAGAAATTGTTGTTTCTCTCATAGTGAGAGAAAAAACGTTGGATTTTTCCTGCACGCAATGATGATACACAGACCTTCCCGCTATTGCTGTCTATCTCAAAATATGTTAAAAGGAGAAATATCATGACAAACTTGTACAGTGCTTGTGTACATACATTTGAGTATCTTAAGTGGCTATCAACCCGCAAACTATGAAATAAAACAACCAAGTCAGTTGTTTTTTTACCTGCCTGCATCAGAAAACATGTAATTCAACAAACCAATCAGATTTGGCTCCTCTTCCCATGTCACATGCAGGCTCATTACAATATTCTGCCCCCATCTGAGTACAGCCACGGCTTCACAACTACATTTGCAAAGGTGCACCAAATTGTTCTCGCTAGCCAATCAGAGCAGACTGAACTTTTTTAGGATTAAAGGCTTAAAGAGACAGGTGGAAAACGTTTCACACAGAGGTGAATACAGGTACTGTATATTCAGACAGAAAAGTTATGTTTTCTTTGAGCATTAAAGCATGTACACGTATTCCAGTAGAAACCCAAACTATGAACATGAATCAGTGGGAGAAATCTGAGTTATAAATCAAACATAGGATGTTATAAGGCCGCATTCTGGGAAAATATGAACCAGCTATTTTGAAGATCTAATTTGATTTCACCTTTTCTTTTTTAAATCTGACTTCTGCAAGTCCCCGTACTTCAGTGAAAATATTCTAGAGTGCTCCTTTAATGTGAGCCATGTGGGGAATTCTAAGGCAAGTATTTATCACCAATACAGGTAGCACCAGAATAAAGAGACATGTCTGTGATGTGCTACTTTAAAAATAGAGGACAGTGTGAAATTCCTTTGAGATAAAATATTTATTGTATTTATTTATTCTTATCTCTCTCTTACTCTACTCAATCACAAACGTAGATACATACACACTTTACGCCTCTCTCTCTCTCTCTTTCACACACAGTCATGCAGAAGAACTTATCATCACCAAAAGGGAAAGGGACTCTTACACCTTCAAGCTCCCTGGCCAACTCCTGCCTTAGATGTGTCTGTGAGGACAAGCTTGTCCTGTGGAACGTCTCTGACCTCTGACCTCAGGTCTGAGAGCTCTACAGCACCTGAAGACCTGAAACAATGACTTTCAGTTGTCAGCAGGGAGAAAACTTCTTCGTACGCGATCCACAACTTGACCCATTCAGTCTCGACCCGTACACCCAGAGGAGTGAAGAGACAGCTGTGGTGCCAAGAGCATGGCGTGGGAGAAAGACGCCATGAGGTACCCATATCCTCAGGTTTTAAGTAGTTGCATCTTAAAGAAATAATGGGGAACTCTGACATGACACCTGATTATTAATTATTAATTATCTGAAACATACAATACTTTAAATGATTTAATTCCATGATAGCATCCACAGATCATTTAGTGTTTCCCCAAAAGGATTCAGCTTAGTCTAACTTGTCTGCTGCTCAACAGTGACATTATTTTGGATTTTGTACCTGTTTTTAAATTGTTTGTACACATACTGAAACAAAATAACCAAATAATGTACACAACTCTGGTCCAACATGGGCTGAGGCTCAGTGCATTGGCGCAGTTGGCATCCATGTCCAGAAAATCTGCACTTAGGTGCTGAAATAGGGGGAAGAATCAGTTGGGCTAAATCGGCTTAGGCCATTTGGAGTCAAATGTCAACCAGATGAAGACTGAGGAAGAGGAGGTGCAGAGAGGGATGAGACGACAGGGGAGTGATAAGGGAGAGGAACGGCAAGAAATCAGAGAGTAGGAGGATAGAGGAGAGTGGGGCCGGGGCTAATGAGGGAGGAGATGGGAAAGGAAAAGAGGGGACAAAGGGAGGGAGAGGAGGGGGAAAACTGCGGAGTTCAGTCACTTCCGCACCATGTGAGTTAACGGGACTGAAGCTCATTTGCTCCCGGTTGAAGCCCGCATCCTTCGGGATAAAGCAGCAGCCACGCACAGCAGAGGCTTCCATCGGACAGAGGAAGCGGCATACAGCGATAGCGGCAGCGGGCACACAGCGGAGCGTCAGCTGCTGAAGGTACGGACAATCCGCCGACACAGAGCGCGGACCTTCCGCGAACATGACAGCGGACGTGGCGGTGTCTCTGTCGGTACTCGCGGGGATCATCGCGCTGAGCGACGCGACCCGCAGATTGATGACCAGGGCCCTCGTGGACACCGGGCTCTCCGTGTACGCGGTGGAGCTCGTGTCCACCTTCCAGCTGTGCTGCTGCACGCACGAGCTGAAGCTGCTGTCCGATGTGGGCGGGATCGAGCCTCGCCTCGCGCTCACCTTCACATACATGGCGGCCGTGGGCCACGCGCTCACCTTCGGCGGGGCCATCGGCAACCCCTCCGCAACGCTCGAGCACGCGTACCACGCGAGGTTGTCGGGCGGGTGCGCCCTGCGGCGAATCGCGTGCCAGTTTGCCGCGGCGACCGCCGCGCGAGCCGCGGTGCCGGCGATTTGGGGTGTCGGGTTGTCGGGACTACACGCGCGGCACAAGCTGCTCGGCTACAGGTGCATCAGCGCCATCCGCGCTCCGCTGCCCAAGGCCGCCGCGGTGGAGCTCGCGTGCGCCTTTGCGGTTCAGACCGCCATAACGCACACGCGACCGGTGGAGGAGAAATACCGCGTGCACGCGGTGGCTGCGGTCATCACGATAGTGGTTTATGCAGGTATGACGCTGACTCTACTCTATTTAGTTGTTCCTCTTTGATGATAGTGGTGTATGAGTCTGAGATCCAGTGCCATCGGCTCTTTAGCAGGTCTCTAATTATATGCAGCAGAATTGTGTTTTTCAGTTTCTTATTTAGCTGAATAAATCAAGTTAAATAGATAAATAATGACATAATGCTGGCCTCACATTACCCATCCACACAATAATCGAATCTTATATATTTGAACTAAAAACTGCTCGCCAGCTAAAGTAGGCTACTAGAATATTTTAGCCTATACTTAAGTTAAGAGGCTAAAAGTAAACCCCTGTACTTTAAAGCAGGGGAAGGCAACTTTAGGCACGCCTGCCAATGGCACACTAGCAACGAGTGTGCGAAAGCTTTTTTTGCAAATGTTGAAGTGCCCTCTCATCCTCAGCCTTTGTGTCCCAGTATAACTAGTCCACTCAGCCTCTGTGTCCCAGTATAACCACTCCACTCAGCCTCTATGTCCCACTATAATCAGTCCACTCAGCCTCTATGTCACATTATAATCAGTCCACTCAGCCTCTATGTCCCAGTATAACCAGTCCACTCAGCCTCTCTGTCCCACTATAATCAGTCCACTCATCCGCTCTGYCCCACTATAATCAGTCCACTCAGCCTCTATGTCCCAGTATAACCAGTCCACTCAGCCTCTCTGTCCCATATAACCAGTCCATTCAGCCTCTGTGTCCCAGTATAACCAGTCCACTCAACCTCTCTGTCCCACTATAATCAGTCCACTCAGCCTCTATGTCCCAGTATAACCAGTCCACTCAACCTCTCTGTCCCACTATAATCAGTCCACTCAGCCTCTATGTCCCACTATAATCAGTCCACTCAGCCTCTATGTCCCAGTACAAACAGTCCACTCAGCCTCTCTGTCCCACTATAACCAGTCCACTCAGCCTCTATGTCCCAGTACAAACAGTCCACTCAGCCTCTCTGTCCCACTATAATCAGTCCACTCAGCTTCTATGTCCCACTATAATCAGTCCACTCAGCCTCTATGTCCCAGTATAACCACTCCACTCAGCCTCTCTGTCCCACTATAATCAGTCCACTCAGCCCCTCTGTCCCACTATAACCAGTGCACTCAGTCTCTATGTCCCAGTATAACCAGTACACTCAGCCTCTCTGTCCCACTATAATCAGTCCACTCAGCCTCTATGTCCCACTATAACCAGTCCACTCAGCCTCTATGTCCCAGTATAACCAGTCCACTCAGCCTCTCTGTCCCACTATAATCAGTCCACTCAGCCTCTGTCCCACTATAACCAGTGCACTCAGTCTCTATGTCCCAGTATAACC